CCTGGGAGTATTAAACGGCTGTTTACTTTTGGTACGGATCTCCTCAGCAATGAGCACCAATGACCCCACATCTGTAATTTAAACACAGGTACTAATCCGGCATCCAATGATATACAAGTGAAACTTTAATCCGTTCATGATATTGCGTGACCGCCTTACACAATGCCATACTAATGAAAATCGTTTAATTAGTTTTGACAAAAATTTATCTCATAGGGTGCTAATTGATAAAAATGTTGCAAATAGTACGATTCATTGTCAACATAAAGTAGCATTATTATTATTATTATCAACCACAACAAATTCATAAATATATTCCAACCTCAATTAACGACTCGAAACATTATACATTAAAGTGAACTGATATTCTCTTATTATAAGTATGAGGTTGTAGAGATTGTTGAGTTTTTAATCGAGATCATTAATCGATCAATGTTAGACCACAATTAAAAACCTGAGAGCACTAGAAAGCCGTTTCGTCCTAACATGGGAATCCTCAGCATCCCGCCCCGCGAGATTCGAACCCAGCACCTACGGTCTCGCGCGCGAATGCTCAACCTCTAGACCCCTCAGCCGGCATCCAACGGTGTTGATGTCCAACTTCAGCCAGTCCACGAAAATGACAGACCATTTCTTTTATTACCATAAACAGATAAACTTTAATTCATATGGACGTTCATTAAAAATTGTACGAAGTTTGACAGAAGGCGACCTATATATAGAAGAAATTATATTTCGATAATGCAATGAGAAGACGAAGTTTATCAGAATTATGTGATATATTTGCTCAATAAATTTCGAACAATCTGATCACACATATACTTGTTAAGAACATTTACATATATAAAAATTAAAAGGTCAACTAGACAGGTTAAAGGTAAGTCGTAACAAAGAAAAATAAAATACACAAAACAATGTGATAACCACTCTAAATAATAAATCAGTATTACCAGGGTAGGTTAAGTGTAAGGACAAATTGTTTTTGAACACATAAAGGGGGTTTTAATTTCCGTATAGCCAAGGCTTCACATAACCTTAGTATACGTCCTTGAAGGCTTTTGTATAACACTACAAATGATGATTTGATGTCAAGCTTATTGACCATTCTCAATCAAGTGCTTCGCAATCGAGCATGATGTCTGTCTATCCTGTGATCTTATTTAACCATTGGAAATTATTAATTACAAACAAGTAGTTCGTGTATACAGGTACGAATAAATGAAATGAAGGATCATGCAGATTCGACGTGATAATCAATTAATTAAATTATTTATAAATAAATAACACAGTTCACTGAACGTGTTTATTGAGTCTTTGTTGCTGAATATTACACAACCACCAAAAGTCTATGGAGTGACAACTTCGTGTAAATAAATATACAATCATTTTTGACATCGGATAGTTCTGAAGACACCGGTTTCCAAAAAATATTTTCATATAGCTACCAGAGTGAATAATAATCATAGGACCAAGGAAACTTCCTTTAAACGAATGTATTAAAATTCTACAATAAGCACTTGTGATTTCTTTAGACTTGTTCAATACAGGGTAAATGAGCACGGCAGATTTAACTGTAAACTAGTACCCAAAATACCCTCAGCTTGGCAATTCAGTGAGTATTATTCTTTATCAATTTAATTCCCATACTCACTCGCACAGTTCTCCTGCCCGAAATATACGTACCGTGAATACACTAGTATTTGACCTTATATCTCTATAATGCATTAAGTTGATTATCACTAGAATATATGTGTAACCCCCAAATGTCAAGGATGGAGGAGTCACCTCTCCTCCTCGAAATGTTCTCATATGGCCACGCGTATACAGCTACTGTTAAAGAAGTCCTACCCACTACCTTGTCGCAGTGTCGGCGTATTTACGAAATCGAGAGGACGAAAAGCAAATGTCAGGAGCTTTAATCGGGTCGGTGGATATGGAGGATCCACCTAAGGGAGTTGAAAAACCCTGATCCCAAACCAATGGCGAACATGGGCTCCAGGATCCTGAGGGAACAAACGGCGTATGAACCTATTGTTGGGCACCAACTACGATTGGACTGCATCTCCTGACATTGCTCCACTGCCTTGTGGGTCAAAGGCTCGGGATGTCGCTCCCTAAGAAAACTACCTGTTTCGGTTTGGGCGCCCGAGTAGTATTCTAGCCCTAACACATCGAATGACTTGCGTGGCGCATATGTTTCCGGTGCCCCCTTGTACCAATATTTATGTGTTAAAATAAATAAAGCCAATAACGGGTACTAAAAGCCCAAATTCTTAAATCCAGTTCCGACAAAATATACAAAATAAAGAAAATATAAGGCAAAGAAATATATGTGCCCTTTATTTCACTTCTATCTATTACATAAAATTATAGCTGACTTCATGAATGTACGGTAACTTTATGTAATAGATTACGTAAGGTCTGGAAAGGTACTTCATAGAACCTCATGTGATAAAAATATTGTTTTGATTATCAAACCCTTAAACATCATTAAAAACTGAGTAAAATTTATGCCATGTTAGACATACTTTATTGATATATTTCCAAATAAAAGTTCAACATTAAATTCCCTACGTGGCTGTATACTAGTATGGTGGTGGATTTATCCGAAGATTGTTTCCACAACCTTAAAATCTTGACGCGAAATTTAAGTATCAATACTCAAACCGTAACTCCCGAAAAATTTGAACAAATGTATACTGCTAAGATATAGAAAAGCGGTGAGTATTGAAATTCTACACATTCATTTGACCAATTTTAAAGAGGAAATAAAATTATTGACATATCTCGTGGCTGTCAAATGCACTGAATTTATGATAGTCGATTTTTACTAATCAGAGTAATTCAAACAGTTACTATGAAACCTTGGCAACAGAAAACATTTATCTAGTTCACAAAATGGGCTTTCACCATCTTTAATGTTGCTAAGTAATAGAAAAACAATGGAATCTCACACCTTTTTACCGTCACTTCATTCTTATTTGATTTCCTTTTGGCTGTTAATTATGTTACTTACTAATATTCAGTAACTAATATCATAATCAGTCATTTTTAAGCAATAGCGTCCAGCAACATTCAGTAGTTGTATGGTATTTACACAGATACATGTTACATAATCCATTATGACAACCATATTCTCTTAAGATTGTTGAAAGTTACTTTTACTTTAGTATATCCATTGAACATTTGTTTATCTATAACAGTCTTCGTTTAACACCAGGATCTATACTTTCCACCTTAGTGGTTTAGAACTGATCAACCGAGCATTCAGTTAATAAACACCTGTAAATATTGTCTTAAACCAATTTCAAAGTCATTAATTATCCCCTAGTTCGTGAGTTTACTTTAGTTGGTAAGGTTAATGTAGGTTTAATACGACGGGAAGACCCCTAAGTTCATTTACAAGTCCAGATCCAATCAAATGTTTAGAAGACACAACAGTACCAATGTAACAGCTCCGATGGATAGATGACAAACGTTTATTAGTAACAAGGCTTAATGTTCAAAACTCATATAATGTGAGTTGCTAGTTTGCAACAGATCACCTTAAAATGTCGGATCCATGAATGTAGTACTGGGAAATTGTTAAATTTAATATACCAAGCACAACAATAATTTAACCATTCGTTTAAGTCATGATTGAATATAATGTTTAATAACCTTTATGTTCGAATTAAAAAAACAGGTGAGCATCAATGAAGTAGATTTTGAAAATAACTCCAGTATTGAACAATTTTCAAAGTATATTATACAATGTTTGTTGACACTAGTTAAGACCGGAGTGGAAAGTAAATCATATTATTGTCAAGCCAAATACTTTTTGTTTTAGTAATTAAAGATTATTGAACACCACATCAGGGATTAGTCGTGGAGTTTTTCCAAATGACAGGTACCTCATTTAGGAAAAAATTATTTAAGTTTAGCAGTTGACCATTCCTTAAAACAGAAGCTCTTAATCTGTATAAAAATTATCCACAATCCCAAGACACGCCAGCAAAAAACCAGACTAACGTATCTACAGTTGTAAAGTGGTTGTTAGGAAGAGTCGACAGAAAATCCTGGACCTAGGTTTCAAGCTAACTGTGATTCGTTAGCAAGATGTACCTGTAATCTTGATACTGACATTCCCTGGAGGATTAGAGCCCGTGTCAACCAGCTTCACAGTCACAGACTTGACATACAGGAAACTGGTCACTACTCAGTGATCGATTAACTGCAAGTGTCCAGAGTTTGATTTCCAAGAAAGACGAACCGACAAACACAGAGAGTAAACCGAAACATGTATTATGAAATGATTTTGTCTAACTGATATGCATACTTGGGATTTCTAATTCTTCTCAAATTATTCATTGGATTACATGATTCATACGAAAGTTCTTGACAAACCTGAAAAACGAACTGATTTTATCTCATACAGACATAAGTTTTAAAATGTTTGAAAACCAATCATAAAAAGCCAAAAAAAACTTTCAACCTAAAACAAAACTATGACCTGGTTTGGGTTCAGTTATACGGTAAAGCTTTAGACAAAAATACTAGAAGCACAACTTGTATGAAAGCGCTTTTCTTACCCGATAGACAGTAAACACTGAATAATAATAATAGTAAACTAGAACACTGACATATAACAAGGACAATTAGCGACCTTTAGTGGAATCCTCAACAAACTTAACTATTTTCATATAAAAATCAAAGTTCAAGCACTGAAATCAGAAATATTGAGGAGAAAAATAGTTTCGGAATAACTGACACGGACAGTAAATAGCAACGGGTTAACAATTCAAATTAACTAAGCACACGACTGTTCTAACATCCTGCTCTTCCTCGACCCTTGGAATTCACATAACATACATTGCTTTAAACCGAAGAGAAATCACTTGCATCTACAAAATATATTTTGAAAGTAAAAAACACTATTGGGTAAAAGTCTAATAAAACGACATGAAAAGTGTGTTAGCCTTTACTAAAGTCCATATAAAAGCGAATATGAAAAGCAACTATTATAATACTACTGAAGAATTAGTTAAACCAATCCAACTATTTCGAAGCCAATTAGTTAGTTGTTGTAAACAATTCAAAACATTTGAAAGCTCCAGTTTGAAATCGTGCAGTTCTGTTGAATTTGAAGTTTCTGTCTTACATTTATTATATAATATTTTAAGATTTTTAAATGATGATTTTACATGAGGAAAATAAACTGATTTATAACCAGTAGTTCCTTGGATGACATTTTTTAAAGATGATTTTTCACATTGACCAGCAGCAACAAAATGTTTAGAAACACCAACAAGTATACGATTGAGATAGGAGGGAAAACTAAAATTCAAGATAAAAATAACGAAAAAAATTGTATCGTTTATTAGAAATAGTGTACTGACTTTTTTCAATGGATTGTTTATCACATTACATAGCAAAATCTACCTATTCACCACAATCATTACTGTGACTCGTAACACTTATTCCATTCTTTGTACGATCTTATAATAATGAAAGCACTCCGTTATAATGAGACTATAGTGAGCAGCTAAACGAAATAATACAGAGTGTATAGACTAATTTAGACAGATACCAAAATGCTACAACCTGAAAGATGCGATTTTTCAAAGGTGCAATTAAATGACACAGTTCTTCATAAAGTAGGCAAATCAGTCATTTGTTTTTGCATCGTATAAAACTAATAAAAGTCGCTTTGTAGTCCCTTAGACCGTTCTTCAGTTACTCACCAACCATAAAGTCGATAACAAATATGTTTCGGTCCAATTCTTCAAACAGAAACAACATGGGGAAAGGAGTAAGGGCACGGATAATAACACTAAAAATCAAGATTACTTCAAAAGAAAACTATCACAGAAATAAAATTCAATACAATGTTAACAAGAAGACAGTGGATGCAACTCCAGTACTGAGACTCATTTATCCAATTCTCTAAAAAAATAATTAATTAAATCATCTACCGAAACTCGAGAAATTCCCACACTTCTTGACAAGGATGAGATTAACAATCAATGTTGTCATAGACTTGTACAGATTTGAACTGATCACTCCCTTTTATCAACTTATTACGACAATTGTGTTAGCATACGCAGCTATTCTGAATGAGCGGTGTGTCACATATGTCTCAACCACATTAGTTGGAATTATTGATTTAATCAATTGACTTGCCACTGCTAAACAGTATACAAGTTACAGTTTCTTGACTGAAATGCTTTATTAATGCAAACATGAACAGCTCTTAGAAGGAAATATGAAAACTAAGCAGTAACAGGGATATAATTTTGCTAAACATTTTATTTATTCCTAAACCTACCTAGTGCAATTTCGTTCCATAGTATTTGCAAAATTTTCAAAATCTTGAGATGACTTCTTAAACGTCTGGATTTCTTCCAATATCCAATCTAAGAAAAGAAAAGAAGTATGACAAAATCAGTTTCATTTAGACAGAAAGAAATTTAGCTAGAAAATTGTTTTCTCTCAAACGGCTTTCCATCAAAGTTTAAATTATTCGGAAAATTATGTAAATTTATACCAATATTTGTCAATATTAGAACGAATAGTTTGACAGAAAATGGACGTCGAGTATAAAGACGTTGTCTGTGAAAATTATATTCGAAACAATCTCAGCGATTGAAATTTAAACAATTCTAACGTTTCGTCCAGCAAACTTGTTTGGGCTTCTTTAGAGTAATAATCAAAATCAGAATTATCAAAGAATACATCATGTTCAATGATCAAATCAGATCTATATTGTGCTTATCCAATCATATTCAGATGTTGGCCTTAGTAAGTAGGATAACATGAGTCAGTTATATGCGAATCATGTGAAAAGTCCACAATGTGAAGATAAATGAATGAATAATTGTGTGTGTGTGTGTGGGTATATGTAAATTCGAGTTATTAGTAGTTGATATTAGGTGTTAGTTTGCTTTTATATGAAGTGAAAATAAAGGTGCAACTTGAAAGTTGGAACTGTTTCTGAACCGTCGATACGCAAGTAAAATGAGAACCATCAAATACGTAATTGTAATGCTAAAATATCCCAATTAATTTCCGCCAGAATAATGATGCATGTGAAATAAACGGGTTGGATAGAGATAGGATCCAATTACTTTTTACAATTTATGCAAAGCTGCGATTCCAAAGAGAAAAAAATACTATAACACCGAACCAATAAGATTTAGGATAGCGGCTCGATCATTTTTCTAAGGAATTCAAAACGCGATGACGGACAACTTGTACTTAATTGAATACTTAGTAAAACCAACCAATAGGAGGTTACTATGAAAACTAAAATTGATAAACATGACAGGACGAAATTAAGCAGATTTTAAGATAACGACGAGTGAGTGATTAATTTTTCATAGAAGAATGATGCGAAACAAATAGAATTGAAATGAGTATAACATTTAACCATCATGGATGATTTTTTAAAGTAACTAAAAGCTTCTTCACATTTTAACCAAAGAGCTATGTGCATAACTATTTGTCAGTGTGAATAAGTGTAACTCAAACCCCATCTTAAGTCCTAAACCTTACCTTTCAATGGTTTATAATAATAAACAGTTCATCAACCATGTTAAAACTGTTGGTTCTTCGTAATTATTTTGTTGTTATAATGTGAATTCTGTTGAATCTAAATACTATTTATTGATTGGCCAGAATCATTCGAAGTCGGCGTTACACTTTAGCAACGATTGGTTATGAATCATTAGGACCAGAAGACAATCAATTACGCAAATCCATATAACGGTTAATGAACAACGCAGCCATATGGAATAGTAACAGCTCATAACCCAGTCGTCTAAATAATACTGATTAATAACCAACGTAAAGATCTGATGCTTTAGAAACATAAGAATGCTAGGCGGAACATGGTTGATTTAGAGCAGGTTTCCTGGTATAAAAATAATCAACGTGAAAAAGCCGACTAAATGAGAGTAGATTCGGTTTATTCAATTGGGAATAGAAGTTTTCGAAGCAAACGATTTTCACATTATTCGCTGATGATAACTAAGCTGGATGGAGTCCACCAAAAGATGAAATATTTCATTAAAAAAATACCTTTTGTAAAAACATTTGAAAAAGTAGTTATGGCTAATGAAAAAAGAAGGAACTATTGGAGACAATCAACAACTTCCAAGGGTCAGGATAAGAAATTATTCGGCATATACGAACAAATATTAAAAAATTACCTAGATTCACACCATATTCTGAAATATTAGGTATTTGATGCGTTACTAACTCCATAAATTTCAACCAATCATCCAATAAACATTGTGAACATCTCAATATCGAAAGTGGCAGACGTGGAGCACATGCAAACTGTATGATGAGCGTTAATATTAAACGCGCAATTAATCTATGTCGAGGGAAGTGTCCTGTAAATGGTGAAGTAGGATCAGTAAATCTTTCTACAACATCAATAATATCATAGGCAGTGTGGTAAACTGGTGTATTGTATAAGCCATCGTCCTATAACAAAAAGAAAGAAACGTTAATGGAATAAAATAAAGCATACAATTGTTAAATTATAATTACAGAAAACGCTTAGCTTACAACTAATTACTTTGCAACTTGATACTAGACATATAAGATTCTATCAATCAAATCAAGATAAAACATATAAATCAAAGTGAACTACGCCATACATTTTGTTCACTTGAAAAACAAATCTCTTTAATAAGCTCTATAGAAATGACTAACGTTTTAGAGAACCGACAACTAGTCATTCAGAATATCTTATTAACCCAGAATAAACTAACGCGATTGTTCTACACTAAATAAATCAGATAAACTTCTAATGGAAAAAATAGAGGGATTTTTTTACCCTCAGACTATAATTTTCCACCCAATATAAACGAGATGAGGACACAAGAGACGTTAATCGTTTTGAGTTGGCTACGATAACAATTATTAGTGTGACCTTTGCAACATAGCTGTCCAACATAACTGATACTTACTGATTACCATAACTTATGAAATTATATACTGTGGTCTTTACTTAGTTTATCTTTTTGTGAATCGTGAAAGTTTTTGTAAGGTTTCATCTTCTCTTTCCCTATTTTTCAGCAGCAGTCAAAGTTGAAGTGTTGCATTTTTCGATTATAAATCTACTGACTATTAATAAGCAATACGGTATAGCACACACAAAAAGTAAACAAAGAAAAAAATGAGAAATTTCTACCAGCAATTACTAGGACGATTATATTGAAAAGTTGAAAATACTAAGTAACCTATAATTAACTTGAAAATCAAAAGGGCAGATTATTCTAAATAACTGTTCTTCAAATAATACAAATGGTCGATTATTTGACATTCAATACACAAACGTCACATTATTAGAGATTTCCCTTTACAGTGTGAATAATATACACAAGACAGTGGGTAATTACAACAACCAATTGCAACCAGATAAGAGCATTGCTTCAGCGACAGCAGACTAAGACAATATGTCAGTCATAATCACTGTAGACCCTGGTACAAATGTTCGTTGACGATAGTTATTATGCCCAGATTGGCAAAATGAGATGAAATCAACATGAATTAAGAAAAATATCAATAGTATCAGCCATAATGAAAAAACTAATCGTTGAGAATATAGTTCGAAAAGATACAAAGAGGTATCAATGTAGGAACACTAGAACTAAAGATCTTGGGTAAGATAACAAGTGATTGCAACTGGACCACTCCGACTGCTTTTAAGCTATGTCACCCAACGTCCCATAACCGCTAAACACGGTTATTGATAGGAATCCAACCAGGTAATCTTTTTCTAACAAAATTGCTCATACCAACAGCCAATAACTTCGTGGACTGATTACACATCTTGACTTGGCCGCTCCTAGCTTTATTCCAAACTGCTTCTACAACAACAAACATTGTTCGTCAAGGTAGGCGGAGGTTAGGCATACGTAACATATGTTTTGAACACTTCAGTCGATGAAGACTTACAACCTCACTAATTGATGAGCCACCTTCGTCTAGTACACTATGTTTACCGATGGCATTAGTCACAAGGTTATTCAATGATCTCTGAGGAATGCTACGAAGACACAGTTATATGTGATATATAACCAATAATTTATTACAACACAACTCATTGAACTACGTTAAAGTTTGTCATCAAAATTTCAAATCTAATGATTTTATACATCAGTACAAGAATAGCGTTTAAATGTCAAACAGTAAACAAACTTACTGGTAGAAATTCTGGATATGTTGATGGAATCCCTAAACGATAGGCAAAAGGTATATGATCCGATCCACCACCAAGAGACGTGATTCTAGAAAAACACTGACCAAAATAAATAGTTAGGAGTGTATTTTCAGAAATATAACATAATTTGCATTATAAGTAATATAACAGTGCAAAATAATAACAGGAGTAGGAAATATATTATCACTAGTCATGAAAGATAAAAAGTTAGAGGTTATAGAACTAAAACATCGCTTATGAAGCTAATAGAAATAAAATGTTAGAAGAGTGAGAGATTAGCAAAACAGGCCATTATTATTGTTCACAAATGGATCACTTATATTAGAAGAGAATCACTAGTAAAGAAGTTAAATAAAATTTAACCAAACCATAAAGCAAACGATCATCATTGTAACATTGTGACAAAATCCACGCTTTCCATGATTGAGAAACTGTTATGACCTTGATTTGTCTACCCACTTTTTGGTGCCGAGGATACTTGTCTAATCTAGATTTCGACCTTGATGTGATAGACTGATCGGCTTAACCTTGAGACTAGTACGCGTGAGTTCGAGATGGGGTAGAGAGAAGAAAACTATTCTGTCACCTGATTGGTGGGCAAGCACACGAATGAGAGAAGACAAGACAACTGGAGCACTACTCGATCCATTTCCCTGACCACTGAACTCACTGGATTCACTGAATTCCAGATTAGTGTAAAAAGGTACATGAATAAATAAGTGAATAACCCGACCGCAACGTACAATAATTAGGAAAAATACAATTATGTCCAAAGCTGGGAATTACAGTAGAAAATAGGGTGCAAAATAATATGTTTAAATTACAATAGCTTCGGAACAGAAAAAGGTATGGCAGTGAATGATACATCGAACGAAAGCTTATGTTCTGTAGAATAGATTAGGGACAAAAATAAATGTCAGTGTTTTACAAACTTTGAATAAAATGAAATAACGTCCCAAAAATTAGCCTTCGTAGTTTGTCAGGGCTTCTTGTTTCCCGGTTCACATCAGAAACCATTAGTGACTTGGCTTCAAATAGTTTACAGTGGTCTCGACCATTTCACTTATGATCATTCAGAAAGTCTAGAACCGTCACACTACTATATACATAAATGCTTTTTACATACTTACAGTCAGATTTTATTAAATATTATTGATTTTTTTCCGTCTCTCATGTGAAAATGAAATCACTGTCATTGTGCAAGTTCTTGTATTGATCAATCAATACTATTTTATAGTGAAGCTTATTGTAACTACGCCTTTTTATTCCATGAAGTGTCGAAAAAATCGCATTTATATCACGAAACGATCTTACACGTGAATCTGTAACATCAACAGTGATAATGAGACACTCGCTTTACCCATCCTTTGCATATAAGTTCTAGAATGAACTCAGAATCCAATTATCGAACCTTGAACCACGTTCGTAGATGTTATTTTATAACACCATGTAAGTAAAGGAATAACTTCTATTCCCTAATTGATATATGAAAGTACCGAGCGAAGAACGCCATATGTGAATTTGCTATTTGTTATTATACACACTTAGAATTTTATTTGGTACGATATTAATTTTATATTTCCCAGTGTAACATTACTTCAGGTCAATATGTTTGTACCAATAAAGTGAGGATTTCGTTCAGTATGACAGGTGTGAACTTCCGACGAGTATGAAAATCATATTTTTAGTGTATCCTTTAACTCATATGATGTTTATTAACTAATAAACTGTGTGTAAAATTAGTATATAAATGAAAGTATTTGGTTAAATGAAGATGTTTATTTAGAGAGCCAATAGGTCACCATTTGCGCCAGCATGTTGTTTTTACTTAGCGCGACGTAGAGATCGTAATCGTCCCCGTTCCCAAATATAAACAGTAGAATAATGGATGCAACAGATCTGACGTGTACAAAATATAAGATAACATTAACAATCACTATTCAACCGACAGAATACCCTGAAGACGTTATCAAACACCCATAGAATAGAACTTTCTTGTGCCTGAAACACTTTCTACATATAATGAAATGAAAAGCATTTGTTTATTATTTCTTATGTTAAAAATGACCATTGAAACAGGGAAATCTATCCAGATGACTAGACCTTGAATATTCGAAATATGAAATAAATCCAGTTAATAACAAAACACCTTTTCAGCATCTTGAAAATAAAAATAAAACTTACACAGGTTCATTACGATCACCCATTTTATTACTTAACCATTCATCATAGAATGATTGCATATTTATTGGTGGGTCAACTGGAACCAATTTTGCAGCATTTATAAGACTATCAATTAATAAACTATCGGTTCGAGCTGAAAAATTGTTATGACCTTTAATTGGACAATCTGAATTGATGTAAACAACACATCTAGATAATAGTTCATATTCAGATTTATGTACAAAATGTGTTGAACCCAAGACAGAAAATTCCTCTCCGTCCCAAGAACCAAGAATTATTGTACGACGAGGTTTGAAACCTTTTTCAAAAACAGTAATACATAACGTTCACTAAATGAAGACATGCATATATATATATATATATATATATATATATATATATATATATATATATATATATATATATATATATGAATAACCTGTTTCTTAAACTTCATCACATTTTTGGTGTAAAATCTAACGAGAGTGAAGTACTGACTTGAAAAGTGAACTCATTTACTCGGAACCATATAAAGTACTGTAGATTGATACGAAAATGTTAGTAATAGTAAGCTGCTTAATAAAAATTGACCAATGTTACAACTTATAATTGTTGCTACGAGCTACAAAGATATAGATTAATTTGAATCTCATTAGTATACGTTGAAATGTTAAAAGTAAGACTACAAAGACTTTCTGATTTAAATGGTGATACAAAGGGTAATCTAGAAAAATTCACTACTCATGTAGAAAAAATAGAAGCCTTGTAATTTCATTTGCTTTATATCATGAATGATTCATACAAATCAATTCTTTAAATTTCCACTACCTATCAACGAAGCTTTACTATTTTGAGGTGACTGGATGAGACTTTATTGATCAAACATCATCTTTAACACAATATTTTCGGTGATAAAGTCAGTCAGTCAGCTGCAACGTAGGACCAGGCACGTATATGCATCGGTCCAAGTTGCCATACCGCATTAGCACAACAAGATGAACACCGGATTCATAGAAGTAGTTAATTCAGTGGTGGTAATATATAGAAGAAAGATTGTGTATAAGGAGATGGTACAGGAAGAAAGAATTAGTTCCAAAAAAGAAAGATTTGAAGTGATTTTAATCTCTTAGTTTAAAGGAAGACAGAGAGTGTATACACCGATAGACGGATATCTCGCCTTCGCCATAGATGACGTAAGTTGGCAAAGGCCAAGCGAGCTTTTCGAATCCGTGCTGAGATTTCGTCAGACACCAACCCATTAGGGCTGATCAGACTTCCAAGATAAGTGAAGTTGTCGACCCGTTCGACTACTTCACTCCCTATCCTTAGTTCAGGTGTTGACGCAGACCAGTCCTGAAGCAACAACTTGCATTTGGAGGGAGAGAAGCGCATCCCAAACATTCTGGCATTGATGCTCAGTGCTACCAAAAGACTGCATTTCATCAGCATCTTCACCAAACAGGACTATGTCGTCTGCGTATTCTAAGTCAATAAGTGGACCTCCTGGTAGATCAATACCCGAGAAGTCAGTCGATGAGAGCGTTATTTCCATCAGTAGATCTATGATGAAGTTAAACAAAAATTTTTTTTAACACACAGGTATTGGTACAAGGAGGCACCAAGTACATATGCGCCACACGAATCTCAATTGATTTGTGTGAGGGCTGTGATACTGCTCGGGTGCCCAAACCGAAACAGGTAGTTTTCTTAGGGGGCCACACCCCGAGCCTTTGACCTGAAGATCTGATCCACAAGGCAGTGGAGCATCGTGAGGAGATGCAGTCCCATGGTAGCCGGTGATCAACGATTGGTTCATACGCCATTTGTTCCTTCAGGATACTGGAGCCCATGTGCACCATTGGTTTGGGGTCCGGTTAAAGCGCCGGACATTCGCTTTTCGTCCTCTCATTTTCGTAAACAACACCCCCGCCACGTGAAGGCAGTGAGTAGGACTTCCCTGGCAGGGGCTATGTACGCGTGGCCATGTGAGAGCATTTCGAGAGGGAGAGCGGACTCTCCCCACTCTCGGCCGTACCAGGGCATTTGGGGGCAAACAAAAATGGAGAAAGTGGACAGCCTTGGCGGACGCCACTTGAGGTTGCGAAAGCAGATGACAGTTCGCCATAAGCTCTGACTCCACTAGTAGTGTTCGAGTAAAGAGCCTTCACAAGGTTTATGTACTTCTGAGGTTATTTATTTATTTGAACACATAAATATTGGTACAGGGGGGCACCAAATATATATGCGCCACACAAAACAATGATAATTTGAAGAGAAGGAGAAAAGAGAAAAGAAAAAAAATGTAATGAACGTGGGGAATTATAAAAAAAAGGGAGAGAGAGAGAGAGAACAATGGTGGAGGAAACGGAAAGGTACAATCAGAAGAGATCTTTCAGTAAAGGAAGATACAACCACTTATTATGAAGAAAGTAAAAGAAGGTTACAGCACGATCGCCACTGGCTTCTATTCTGAGCCATATCTGATAACGTCTCTAGCCACTGCGTTACACCGTCTCTCGGACCCCAACCAGGGAGTCGTGAAGGACCAACAGAAGCTAGCCCTTTGCAACTTTCTTTCATACCACGACACCATGTCATATACTGACCACTTCTGAGGTACGCCTTTCAATGACAGACACTGCCACAGAACCTCTCGGTCAACAGAGTCAAATGCTGCTTTTAAATCAAGGAAGACCACTATTGTCGGACGCCGATAAGTATGCCTGTGTTCTAGAACCTAACGAACTTCAGCTAGAGTTGGGGGACCTACTTTAATGTTCCATTCATACTGTCTGGGAATAGAGGGTAGTTGTAGAGTAGCTGAAGGCCAATTAAACTGCTCCTTAAAGTGTTCCGCCCATCGTTCTAAACGTCTGGACTGGGAGCAGATGAGAGTGTCGTCTTTTTCCGAAATGGTCTGACTTACACTTGATTTATTAATTCCAGTTTCTTTTATTAGTCTGTAGAGTTGTCTTGTGTTCCCTATAGCCGCCACCTTTTCCATCTCTTTTGCTTTCGTTGCCCACCACTGCTCACGATCGTTCCTTAGACTTTTGCTTAACCTAGATCTGATTTGTTTACGCTCACCATCGTGTTCAAAACCTGATGGGATGAGTTTGCGAGAATCTATCAGTGCAATAGACCTTGACGAAATCCATTGGTTTTTTGTAACCATTTGGTTTAAATCACTGGTAGACGCACTGCTGTTTCCACAGCTGCTTGTATAACTTTCCAAGCAACATCTGGGTCAGTCTCGTTTTCAGAACTACCTAAGTGTGACCTCAGTTTTTCCTGGAACCTACTTTTGGCTTTCTCATTACTCAATTCGGTTCTAATGAGTCTTTTTTGTGTGGCTCTTTTGCGTCCAGTGAGGCGCAAGCAGATGCGTGCTCGTACTAGGGCATGATCAGAGTCCAAGCAGGTACCCCAGAATGAGCGACAATCTTCTATTGACCCTCTCCAACGATGACTGATGGCAATATGGTCTATTTGAGTCCATCGTTGGTTTGGTGCAGGGGGTCGCCATGTTAGACGATGTCTCTCCTTATGCTTAAAATTTGTGTTTGCTAAAAATAAACGATTGTCTGAGCACAGTTGCAGCAGACGATCACCATTATATGTTCGCTGTGCCGGAATACTAAAATACCCACCTAAATGTCTTTCTGTTTTGTTTAGGCTACCTACCTGGGCATTAAAGTCACCTCCTACGAGCACTATGTCTGAACGTTTAGCTTTCTGAAGAAGTTCAGACAGCTTTCTGTAAAATTCATCTTTCACTTCATCCGAACTGCAGTCAGTGGGAGTGTAGGCAGAAACGACGAAAAGGCAACGACGTGTGTCCCTATCCTTCCGAGTTCTTACGGAGCCGTTTAGCCGAACAGCGCATAGACGACTATTAACGGGGATCCACTCTAATAGCGCTTGTTCCGCCCTCATGCTAAGTGCTATGCCTACACCTGCCAGTCCACGAGAACTAGCCATCGGGTTGCCAGATACACGGAGGGTGTATCTCGTCGACACTCCGTTTTGCCGAGGTGAGGTTAAGTGAATGACCACACTAGGATCCTGTATGCGTGTTTCGGAGACACAGCATACATCAATCGTACGAGATTCTAAGGTTTTAGCCAAGGAAGCCTGCTGACCGATTTGGCATAGTGTGCGTACGTTGAAGGCTCCAATGTGTAGTTTGGAGCGAGGTTTCAGTAGACCTGGGACAGGGTTTCGCGCACTAGAATCGTTGGTTGTGGTGACACTTTAGGAGGAAGCTAAAAGAGGAAGTTTAGTGTATAAAGTCGATGTAGGAGGAATAATAGGAATTGAAGAGGGAGGTTGACTATGAATACAGTGGTCTTGAGTGCTGTTAGAGGTATGAGGGCGGTTATCACTTCCCGGTTGCCAACACCGTGGAAGGGTTCTTCTGGAGGTACCTGAAAAGGAAATTGGATTAGAGGTGGTCATAGTGACCTGAGAGCGTAACCGCAGTGCCCAGGGTTCAGCTGCTTGAGGTCGGTCACACACGACCTTTTTATGAGTGATTTTTGTGTTAGCTCCGTACTTGTTGAGACCTTACCGCCGGAGACGGATATCCGTGGGATAAGGCGAGGTGTGCGTTTTTAGGGTCGGCCTTTTCTAACCCCACCCCTCCTTCTGGGAAGGCAGCATCGCTGTCATGCTGGTTGTCTGAAGGAAACACCTTACTGCTGTCACACCTCTGTACAGCCAGCAGTACGACTTCACCTTCGGATCTTGGGTTTATTGCTTTTAGTCTTACCACTCTTCAACCGACCTGTCTGGCATGGTAGGACCTTGAGGAACGGTTGTTCCAGCCAGTATAGCTCAGTTGCTTCATCACGATAGGCAAGCCCGACCACCACGTCAAGGTAGCAACAACGGTCAGGCGATGATAAAGTAACAATGATTAAGAATTTATATGCAAGAATAGCTATATATTCACATGTATGATACAACAGAAATAAATAATCTTACCATTACGATAAGCCTCGCCAAGAATTCGAGCGATTTCTTGTAAAATCACCATACCTGATCCTGGATCGCAAGCGCCTTGTACCCATGCATCATGATGATTACCCATAATTACATATTGATCAGATTCAGTTGAAGTAGGTGTCATTTCACCCGGCATTATACCCACTATATTACATAACTTTACTGGGTTTTTAGAGACTTGATTATGTACTACAACTTTTAAACAGCTATAAAGATAAATGAACAAATACTAGTAAGTACGTTCACTTTTTTAAGCTTTTTAGTCAGGGTTATGGTATGTGACAATCCTACACTGTTACACTAAATATTATTAGGAATTGTAAAATACAAAGATATAATTTTACCTAAAACTACACCAACAACAATCTATTTCTTAACAAATCAAAAAATCTAGAAAATATTGTGACATCAAATTAGAAACTTATATATATATATATATATATATATATATATATATATATATATATATATATGTATATATATATATATATATATATATATATATATATACATATATTATCTTACCGAAAAAAAGTTCTATAAAGAATTGTAAATTCAAAACATTGAATGAAGTTTAAAACGCGAAATATAACTTAGTAATCCAGCAGAGGTTCGCTTACTCTGAACCACACTTAGGATGTGAGCACTCGAGGTACTAATTAGCTGGAATACAGGAAGGAAATGAGGTCGGATGTCAAAACGAGAACTGATAGTTGAACGGTGTGTCTAAATACATGTTAATATTTAGGATTTTATAAACTAAACTTTCGACCACGGACCTTGCCACAGAAGTGGTACCACTATTACGCACACTGTAGAATAGTTCGTAATTTATTCAGCATATCCGAATATCCTTACCAAGAGTTATAATTTACAAGGTACTGTTTCATGTTAAGTATTAAGTAGTATTGTAAGTCATCAATTAAAGTATGTGGAATTACTTTTGGAAAATATCTGGGAGAATTAAATTCTTAGCTGTAAAAGTATATTAAAAGAAACGAAACAACATTATATAAATAAAGCATCAACCAAACCTACTTATAGAATTAATAAATTGTTATATGGTTACATTCAACAGCAAGTTAACCACTAGGATTGTTTTGCCGTTTCTCAAAATAGTCAGAAATCATCACTAGCCTTCCTTTCAAATCTAACCACCTATCATTTCATTAAAGTGTTATCACTGAGTTAACGGATACTCTGAGGGACTGAGTATTTGAGATAATCAACCACAAGAATAGTAACAAAATCAACACCATGTCTCTAACTGATGCATCATAAAATACTCATGAACTACTTGGCTCATAAAGAATAACCTTGAAAGACAGTTGTCAAACATAGAACTACTTAAAAAAAACCTTACGTTTTAGTTGATGGTCCCAAATGAGTTGCCAAACGAGTGTCCCAATCATTAGGGATAGTTGGTCCCTCTAAGCTCGATAAAAATATTTTGGCATCATCATAGCCAATAGGTTGAACAGGAATCTGTGTAAGGGCATCACCTTGTAGAAGTGTATCAGTTCGGTAAATATGGGCTGGAATCAAAAAGACAACATAAAGCTAAGGTATGTTTTAAAATTTCAAAATAGAAATTTCGGCAAACAGTCAAGTAATTTAATAAAACGAAAAGATTATCAAATGTTTAACTAGTTTTATCAACTGAAATGTCAGTAAATAAATTGATCTTTCGATAAAATCTTAGGCCGTTATAATTCACCAATAAATCCAATACATATTAATGAGCTAAAAAAAATACAAGAGAATCAAGATTATACGCATAAATGGTATGGGTTGTTCAGTTGGGTGACATTCTTAATTTCAACTCACGTACTTTCATTTCACGAATCCATCCTTTCCTCTTAAATCATACCGCTAATACCTTTTTAGTACTTTTTTACTACAATTGACAATGTTACTAATTATGACTACTCTGAAATTTACCTTGATAACTTCATATATCTGTGGCAATGTGTTGTGGAGACTCGAACCGATGTACATTTATTCCAGGTTCTGTGTTGTATATGACTAACTGATATACAGATTAAATTTTCATGAAAATTCTAGTGCCTTTATTATTCGAAAATTCATCGAATATCACCAAAGACCCATATTTAAACATATTCCCTAGATAATTCATAGAAGCAACAGACGACAGAACAGCCACTTTTTGTATCGATATATCTACATCAACTTGATTCTGGTCAGAAAATAAACTAAGATTGTTCTGAACAAATCCTTCAGTTGGTGGGTAAATATGCAAATATGCAAACAAATCCTAAACATTCGAAAATACCAACTCACGAAGTGATGGAAATCCTGTGCAGGTCGGATCACCACCGCCAGCATATTTCATATTCATATGACCAAATACAGGAGCATCCCCTGGTAGCCCTTTCCCATTAGGATAAACTAGACCATTTACAGCAAAGTCCTGTGGATCAGGATACAGAATAAGAGCGCCAGGATGGTGGTCAGGAAGTGAAGTATTGTTTTGACCACAAGCACAATGTTCCATTAAATTTTTTAACTTGGATTGTCGAGTTCCGTTGCCCAGTCTGGCAATTACAATGACATTCTTGTTGCATATATGACTAGGTTCACCCTTCTTTCGGCCTTGCAATTTATCAAACAACAACAAATCCTTACGTCTTGCATAGTTCACAAATACAAAATATCCAAACGACTCACCAGAGCACGAATAAGCCTGATAAACAGGTAATTGGTTACTGCCGGAGTTATCAACAGTTACATTTTGAGAGGTTTCAGATTTCAATGGAACAGTAACTATAAATATAAAAAATTATTCTCCAGAATATTTAAAAAACAAACGTGTTTTACCAAAAGTTTAAGGAACAGTGAAAAATATTGATAGAAAGAGAAACACGATCATTAGTTTACATCAGTTAAATTCAATGTCCCAACCCAATTAACTAGACTAATAATTTGTTTAAGTTCATCAGTATAAAGAAAAATATATATTGATGAACAGGGGTTACTCAATCACAATCGTTCCCAGTGGGGCACACAGTATTACTCTAGTATTGTAGTGATCACAAGTACAGACAACCGATGTATATTTAACGCAAAATTACAGAATATATTGGTAAAATATGAGAACAAAAGTAGCACACACGGCTTGGCGTGTTCATCATAACATTGAACACAGCAAAATGACGTTAAAGTAATCGGGAAATGCAACTTGATTATGAATTCATGTCTAAAATTACAGAACAAAACGTTAACAAAGTACTTAAAACATGTAAACTTTCCTATACTTAACTATAAATCAGTCTTCCCTGACCGTTGTTGCTAACTTGACGTGGTGGTCGGGCTTGCCTATCGTGATGAAGCAACTGAGCTATACTGGCTGGAACAACCGTTCCTCAAGGTCCTACCATCCCAGACAGGTCGGTTGAAGAGTGGTAAGATTAAAAGCAATAAACCCAAGGTCCGAAGGCGAAGTCGTACTGCTGACTGTATAGAGGTGTGACAGCAGTAAGGTGTTTCCTTCAGACAACCAGCATGACAGCGATGCTGCCTTCCCAGAAGGAGGGGTGGGGTTAGAAAAGGCCGACCCTAAAAACGCACACCTCGCCTTATCCCACGGATATCCGTCTCCGGCGGTAAGGTCTCAACAAGTACGGAGCTAACACAAAAATCACTCATAAAAAGGTCGTGTGTGACCGACCTCAAGCAGCTGAACCCTGGGCACTGCGGTTACGCTCTCAGGTCACTATGACCACCTCTAATCCAATTTCCTTTTCAGGTACCTCCAGAAGAACCCTTCCACGGTGTTGGCAACCGGGAAGTGACAACCGCCCTCATACCTCTAACAGCACTCAAGACCACTGTATTCATAGTCAACCTCCCTCTTCAATTCCTATTATTCCTCCTACATCGACTTTATACACTAAACTTCCTCTTTTAGCTTCCTCCTAAAGTGTCACCACAACCAACGATTCTAGTGCGCGAAACCCTGTCCCAGGTCTACTGAAACCTCGCTCCAAACTACACATTGGAGCCTTCAACGTACGCACACTATGCCAAATCGGTCAGCAGGCTTCCTTGGCTAAAACCTTAGAATCTCGTACGATTGATGTATGCTGTGTCTCCGAAACACGCATACAGGATCCTAGTGTGGTCATTCACTTAACCTCACCTCGGCAAAACGGAGTGTCGACGAGATACACCCTCCGTGTATCTGGCAACCCGATGGCTAGTTCTCGTGGACTGGCAGGTGTAGGCATAGCACTTAGCATGAGGGCGGAACAAGCGCTATTAGAGTGGATCCCCGTTAATAGTCGTCTATGCGCTGTTCGGCTAAACGGCTCCGTAAGAACTCGGAAGGATAGGGACACACGTCGTTGCCTTTTCGTCGTTTCTGCCTACACTCCCACTGACTGCAGTTCGGATGAAGTGAAAGATGAATTTTACAGAAAGCTGTCTGAACTTCTTCAGAAAGCTAAACGTTCAGACATAGTGCTCGTAGGAGGTGACTTTAATGCCCAGGTAGGTAGCCTAAACAAAACAGAAAGACATTTAGGTGGGTATTTTAGTATTCCGGCACAGCGAACATATAATGGTGATCGTCTGCTGCAACTGTGCTCAGACAATCGTTTATTTTTAGCAAACACAAATTTTAAGCATAAGGAGAGACATCGTCTAACATGGCGACCCCCTGCACCAAACCAACGATGGACTCAAATAGACCATATTGCCATCAGTCATCGTTGGAGAGGGTCAATAGAAGATTGTCGCTCATTCTGGGGTACCTGCTTGGACTCTGATCATGCCCTAGTACGAGCACGCATCTGCTTGCGCCTCACTGGACGCAAAAGAGCCACACAAAAAAGACTCATTAGAACCGAATTGAGTAATGAGAAAGCCAAAAGTAGGTTCCAGGAAAAACTGAGGTCACACTTAGGTAGTTCTGAAAACGAGACTGACCCAGATGTTGCTTGGAAAGTTATACAAGCAGCTGTGGAAACAGCAGTGCGTCTACCAGTGATTTAAACCAAATGGTTACAAAAAACCAATGGATTTCGTCAAGGTCTATTGCACTGATAGATTCTCGCAAACTCATCCCATCAGGTTTTGAACACGATGGTGAGCGTAAACAAATCAGATCTAGGTTAAGCAAAAGTCTAAGGAACGATCGTGAGCAGTGGTGGGCAACGAAAGCAAAAGAGATGGAAAAGGTGGCGGCTATAGGGAACACAAGACAACTCTACAGACTAATAAAAGAAACTGGAATTAATAAATCAAGTGTAAGTCAGACCATTTCGGAAAAAGACGACACTCTCATCTGCTCCCAGTCCAGACGTTTAGAACGATGGGCGGAACACTTTAAGGAGCAGTTTAATTGGCCTTCAGCTACTCTACAACTACCCTCTATTCCCAGACAGTATGAATGGAACATTAAAGTAGGTCCCCCAACTCTAGCTGAAGTTCAAAAGGCTATAGCTAATCTGAAACGAGGAAGGGCAGCTGGTCCAGATGGATTGGCCCCAGAGGTCTTTAAGGATGGTGGTCTAGTCTTAGCGATTAGGTTGACTAATATTTTAGCTAAAATCTGAGAGTTAGACGTTATTCCATCTAACTGGTCACAATCACTTATCGTCCCAATATTTAAGAAAGGGTCAAAATCATCCTGTGACAACCACAGAGGGATTAGTTTGACTAATATAGTATCTAAAATACTAGCTTCGATAATTTTCGGACGCCTAACTAAGACTCGTGAACTGCAAACACGTGAAAATCAGGCTGGCTTCAGACCTGGTCGTGGCTGCATCGACCACATATTCACCATTCGTCAGGTTCTAGAACACAGGCATACTTATCGGCGTCCGACAATGGTGGTATTCCTTGACTTAAAAGCAGTGTTTGACTCTGTTGACCGAGAGGTTCTGTGGCAGTGTCTGTCATTGAAAGGCGTACCTCAGAAGTACATAAACCTTGTGAAGGCTCTTTACTCGAACACTACTAGTCGGGTCAGAGCCTATGGCGAACTGTCATCTGCTTTTGCAACCTCAAGTGGCGTCCGTCAAGGCTGTCCACTTTCTCCTTTTTTGTTTAACTTTATCATAGACATCCTGATGGAAATAACGCTCTCATCGACTGACTTCTCGGGTATTGATCTCCTACCAGGAGGTCCACTTATTGACTTAGAATACGCAGATGACATAGTCCTGTTTGGTGAAGATGCTGATGAAATGCAGTCTTTTGGTAGCACTGAGCATCAATGCCAGAATGTTTGGGATGCGCTTCTCTCCCTCCAAATGCAAGTTGTTGCTTCAGGACTGGTCTGCGTCAACACCTGAACTAAGGATAGGGAGTGAAGTAGTCGAACGGGTCGACAACTTCACTTATCTTGGAAGTCTGATCAGCCCTAATGGGTTGGTGTCTGACGAAATCTCAGCACGGATTCGAAAAGCTCGTTTGACCTTTGCCAACTTACGTCATCTATGGCGAAGGCGAGATATCCGTCTATCAATTAAGGGACGAGTATACTGCGCGGCAGTTCGTTCCGTCCTTCTATACGGCTGCGAAACATGGCCTTTAAGAGTGGAAGATATTCGTAAGTTACTAGTATTTGACCACAGGTGCCTTAGAAATATTGCGGGTATCTGCTGGGATCACCGGGTAAGTAATAGTGAGGTTAGACGCAGGGTATTAGGGAATGATGGTAAATCAGTTGATGAGGTTATGAATCTCCATCGACTGAGATGGTTGGGCCACGTGTTGCGTATGCCTGAACACCGATTACCACGACGCGCAATGCTGACTAGTGCAGGGGATAACTGGAAGAAAGTTAGGGGCGGCCAAACCAAAACGTGGCATCAGTGCTTGAAGTCACTAACTTCTGGTCTGAGCCATGTTGGGAGATTCAGACTGCCTGGTTGGGGTCCGCGTGACTATCGTAACCAATGGTTGGAGACTCTTGGTGACATGGCTCAGAATCGATCACAATGGCGTCGGTGTATACACTCACTGTCTTCCTTAAATTAAGAAATTAAAATCGCTTCATATCTGTCTACGAACTAATTCTTTCTTCCTTTACTATCTCCTTATACACAATCTTTCTTCTATATATTACCACCACTGAATTAACTACTCCTATGAATCCGGTGTTCATCTTGTTGTGCTAATGCGGTATGGCAACTTGGACCGATGCATATACGTGCCTGGTCCTACGTTGCAGCTGACTGACTGACTGATAAATCAGTCTTCATTTAACGAATGGAAACAAAACCTGGCTTCTCGAGTTGCAGTAGAAAAAGAAGAGTTTGAGTCTGCGGTCCAGAAGTAGGAATCCTCAAACAGCTAAACTGCAGCTTTGTTATTTGTATATTACCCTACTAGTATTGTTTTAAACACTATTGTTAACATCTTTTGAGAAAGGTTTTTCTCACATGTTCACCTGATGAATATTGGGTATTTTCATATGATGATCACTAGTGCTCATTACACTGACGAATGCCTTATACAACCACAAATAACTGTTGCTTAAGTCCCATTAAAATGAAAACGCTAGTCAGGTATGATACAAGTTAAAAAGCCAATGGACAATGATTATAGTGGTGTAGGTAACAAGAGATATTATTATTTACTATTATTATTTGATATTATTTTCTTACATAACTGTCGTAGAAAAATTAGTTAACACGTACTGTCTTATATTTAGAAAAACGACCCCATTTTTTTACTTGTTAAGACCTGTAAACCGTTGTACATTGTGGTCGTATATCTTACATCCTCAATCAAATAATACATAAATCAAAACTATGAGGGACTCGTGAACATTTTTTCTGCATTCTGATTGTACGTCTAAACAATGAACACAGTAGTGTATTAAGCAACTAGAAATAAATCAACGAAGGTAAATGATTTGTCACTGATAATGTGGCATATAGTACAATATTTACAACCGACAACTCGTAACAAAGATAACATTATATTTCAACCTTCGATTCCTGTGATTCATCAAATAAAACTAATTTCACAGGGTTTTTAGAACTTAACTAAGTATTATCGTATAGAACATATGTTGTTGAACTATACATTAGGTGACAACCTTCTATGAATGGGTGCTACTGAGGAGCCAAACACCAGGATGAGACAGCTGTCTAGTGATACCTGGTTTTGGATAGTTTTCTAAGTCGTGTCGATTAGTAATCTCAGTAGTGAAAAAGGCTCAAAAATGTAATGTTCGACGAACCATCAACAAATAGACAAGATTAAACTATACACCTAAATGCATAACTACTAATTACTCCGGAGTACGGATATATTCTAAACAGTTATCCTTTTTTACGGACATCTCTAATGAAAAATATTGACTAAAACGACTAAATCATCGATATAAAAATGTAGAAACTCACCACTATTTTGAGCTCTGTGCATGACTTCGGTACCGTCCAAGTTGGTAAGAAGGACTTCATTCCATGGACCATTCTCAGGAGGGCCCAAAGGAAGAGTAACATAAAATTCTTGTCTGTCAACAACAGGCCAACCCCATTCTTTCCAGCTCCTTTCTATGGAGTCTACAATATTGACAATATTTTAGACAATAAATAAATCGAACTGTAACACTAGAAATAAATATTATCAATCAATATACAACTGTGACTTAGGAACCAAGTGCATAATTACGTGAGGATGACACTAACAGCCTGTTCAAATTAATGTAGGTGGAGAGAGGTTTAAAGAAAAGACCCGATGACTGACATAATAGTGAGTTTAAATAAAGCTCTGGGGTGCCAAGCAAAGATAGTATCAATCCACGAAATCGTTGACCGTTGATTTATGTCACGTTGGCAAGTGTAGGCTACTAGATTGATTTCCACCCGGTAAACATAACATGTAACTGAAAACCTTGTGATATGACACGATTAATTTCAACATGTAAACAATGGTATAAAAGGCATCAAATAAATATGCGCCACGCAAATCATTCGATGTGTGAGGGCTAGTTTTATCTTTTTTATTTTTTATTTTATTTGAACACATAGATATTAGTACAAGGAGGCACCAAATATATATGCGCCACACAAATCTCATTTGATTTGTACGAGGGTTGTGATACTGCCCGGGTGCCCAAACCGAAACAGGTAGTTTTGTTAGGTAGCCACTCCCCGAGCCTTTTACCCACAGGAGATGCAGTCCCATGGTAGTCAGTGACCAACAATTGGTTCATACGCCATTCCCCCCCAAGATCTTGGAGTCCATATGCACCATTCGTTTGGAATCAGGGTTTTTCAACTCCCCTAGGTGGATCCTCCATATCCACCGACCCGATTAAAGCTCCACTATTGAAGTAGAGGCTGATAAGGATTAAAACTCCGGACATTTGCTTTACGTCCTCTCAATTTTGTAAACAACACCGACACTGCGACAAGGTAGTGGGTAGGACCCTGCTTCGGTTTGGGCACCCGAGCAGTATCACAGCCCTCACACAAATCAATTGAGATTCGTGTGACGCATATGTATTTGTTGCCTCCTTCTACAAATGCTTATGTGTTAAAAATAAAATAAAAAATGGGTAGGACTTCTCTGGCAGTAGCTGTATACGCGTGGCCATGTAAGGGCGTTTCGAGGAGAAATGATTTCTCCATCCTCGGCTATATGGGGGCACGAAATCAGACACAGTGGCTCAGATGAACTTTTAGCTAGGAATTGAATCAGTAATACAATCTATGAGTCGATAAGAGAAACGAATTTCATGCTCCGATAACAAACATGAATTACAAATAGTTAGATGTACAGTTGCAGCTACGATATGCTCCCCATAAAACCACCCGTAAACTTGTCTCTTTATTTACAGATTTACTTTGAATTAGGACACATGCATGTATAAGTTCCCCTAACTTCAAACAAACATGAGAATTTTCGCAATGTCTAAATACTTATTCTAATTGTGTAGCCATATGACATTACTAAATCCAAGCGTCATATTACACCAAGCACTGAACAAAAATTACTAGTATGAACCAGCTTAATTAATTAATGTGAAAATATAGTGACTTAAGAAAATTTTAGAAATGCAGTAAAATGTATTTACTTGCTAACTCGTAATTTTCTTTGCTGCCAGAACAGTGAGGGTTGCCACCACAGAATTTATGCATGTATTCCAATAAAAAAGTATCCGACACATTTTTACACAAATTTTGTGATATTTCTTGCCACATTATATACGAGGAAAACCCGTGGTGTTTACTTATTGGTCCCAAAAGTGAAAAAACAACGATGGTTCAATACTTTAATACTCATACGATGGAATGTTGCCAAATTATCAAACGCAAACTACTCAATAACCAATACTGTATGCAAACTAAACTAAAATATTTATTTTGGTGAACTGAAAATAGTAAGAACCTACAGGTAAGTCGCTTACTGTCCGTATGACTAGCAATATTATTAAACAGACGATTAATTCATTCAGTGACAAAATTAGATAAAAACAGGATGACTTTGATGTTGTTGGTTACATACTCTCAAAGTTGGCTGAAATTATACGCCCTCAGACATGCATTAAATCATATCGTTTGCTTGTAAAACTTGAAAACGAAACTTTATTGCATCCAACCCAGGAATAAACCAAATAAAAAAGGCTTGAATATTTCAACATCATGATTTATCACTACAACATAAAGCTAAAATGCACATACGAAAATCAGTACCCAAATCTCCAACACACGAACACTTACACTACACGGCAAAATTAATAGAAAAATAAATAGTATGGCCGTGTTATAGATAGCCCATTGACAAAGCTCATATATGTTTTATGAAAATACTGTAAAGTTTAGAGGGGATGAAGGTGGTAATGTAGCGTTGGTCGTGAAGAATTTATATCTCGCAAAAGTTTGTGTGCAGGTAGAATTTAGTCCAAGTCTAACAATACGTTCTCAAAGTCCAACTTTACTTTGGATTATTTTTAATCTATTAAACGGCATTCCCCATTCTGTAAATTATTACCAAACACATTCAACTCACAATATTAAAATGAAAAGACTAATGTAGTAATACTGTTTATTAGAAAGTCTGTATTTGCCCGTTTTGATGTTAAGGACTACGAGAGATTAATTTCTGCTGACATGTGTAGATGTTAAGAGAACCCCTCAATATTAATAGTTGTTCAACTTTTGGCCCTTACATGGTCACGCGTATACAGCTACTGCCAGAGAAACCCTACCCACTACCTTGTCGCAGTGTCGGTGTTGTTTACAAAATTGAGAGGACGTAAAGCAAATGTCCGGAGTTTTAATCCTTATCAGCCTCTACTTCAATAGTGGAGCTTTAATCGGGTCGGTGGATATGGAGGATCCACCTAGGGGAGTTGAAAAACCCTGATTCCAAACGAATGGTGCATATGGACTCCAAGATCTTGGGGGGGAATGGCGTATGAACCAATTGTTGGTCACTGACTACCATGGGACTGCATCTCCTGTGGGTAAAAGGCTCGGGGAGTGGCTACCTAACAAAACTACCTGTTTATGTTTAGGCGCACGGGTAGTATTCTAGCCCTCATACATCGAATGATCTGTGTGGCACCCTTCTGTACCAATCCTTATGTGTAAACAGTAATAGTCTTCCTAATAATAGTAATGATAATAAAATCGACAGTATCTCACAACAGACAGATTTCCCCAACGTGTTATAAGAGTGTCCACAGATCTGGGGAAATTTTGTGCTATTTCTCCAATTTTTTATGGCGACTTTCCCGAAATAGGGGACACGTAAAACTACTATCATTACACTACCTCTCTAAAGACAATTACCCGACCCCGGAATTTCTAACGTCTATAAAGTCAGTCTGAAGGTCATTTTTGAATCGTCCTAGATGAAGACTGTTCGAATACCATTGGACGAAGCATCCAATATCTTTGTGACGACTTGACATTAAATGACCGATTTTCTGTACTTTCATTTTTCACTTATCCGTTAAAGAGATGATTCAAATGCAAAAGAGCCTACTTAGTTTAGTGATGACATCTCGGATTATATCGTCGAATGGCGCGTGTTCGGATCCCATGGAGATCAATAGTTTCCTCAATATTCCAATCGCTTTTTGTTGTTCAGTGACCACCAATATGAAACCTCTTGGACTTGGTATATATATTTTTTCCATTTAACAAATTAAGACAACACAGAGGACATAACATGTAAGTTCAAAATTCAAGAATAAATATAATACCCGTGGTATCAAAGTTTTCACACCGACCCATCACGTTTTGGTACATATAAGGGTTACAACGTCGCTGTGTAGCTGGCCCATGGCATGAGACAGATCATCCTAATTTGATAATGTTTAGTATACAGATCTATGTTCACTAATCTGTTAACGAATAAATAAACAGTAAAGATAGAGCAAGTATTCGGAGTTCGACAACGCTTTTACCAGTAACATCTTTATAGTCAAAGTATATCAACCCAGTCAAATCAGAAGTCTGAAGTGAGGAGATTTGAAGTTATATTTGAAAAGCTATCGACATCTTGAGAAGCGTTTGATCGAAGCTAGCTATTGGTTGTAGGAGATGCGCATCACGGTGTACCCGCTTATGAACTGCTGCGGATGCGTGACCTTACCAATGTGGATAGAGAATGCCTATTCAAATTCATGGCCTAAATATCAAAGAGAGTCTGGATTCTGTGTTAACATTAAACGTTACCAGTTATTTTAATGTTTTCAAAACCCGTGTAATAATCTTGTTTCACTCAATTATTTTGGCCATTTTCGTAAGGGGTTATAACTCCAAGGTTGTTTGCCTGAATACTTTACCTTTATTAATAAAGCAACAAACTATTCCCTCTATCTCATATTTCAAGTGTAGAACAGCCATATATAGGGTTCTACCCAATAAGTAATAATAGGGTTGTAGGTCATTTACTAGATTTCCAGAAAAAATATTCACACCGCCGTTTAAAATATTGAGATCAGACCCGTATGTCTACTCATTGATTGATAACCTTATGAATATCAGACAGCTTGTCACCACAACTACACCAGAATAGCTTTTATACGTGTTTGAGATAAAGAAGTAGATAGTGAGTCGTATTACGTTGACGATGCTCTGTCACGTACCTAAGTGAATGCAGTTACATTTCCGACGCTTGATCTCCCTGTTACGACTGCCGCCCAAGCGGGTGATCCCTCCTGTACAGAAGCACAACATTCTACATCCCAACAGTATCAGGAAACATCACTAGCTATTATCTCAGGTACTATTCTGTGTGACACTTCTGCTGGTCTTACCCGACCCATTGTAGCATCTGCTTACCGTTGTATGTGGGTACAGCAATGCCTACAATGTCAACAATTTCGATAAATCAGACTACGTTCAACGATTGTCTGGATTTATACGAACACTGCCTCTGGTGTCAACTTGAATACTGCATCGACAGGTCGCTCTCCCCCGAGAGTTATCTACCTGTTCACATGTTTTCATACGAGTAGATTCGGTACGCAAACCTTTGCAACAGCCTTATGAAGGACCTATTCACGTGATTTTTTGTCACGAAAAAAACCTTCAAGGTTGATCTGCACGCCCGCGTCGAGATAGTCAGCATTGATCATCTTAAGCCAGCACATGTCGGTGACAGCGTCCTACCTGATAAGTTGAGACTCAGTGCTAGGCCCATAAAACCTACTAGCGAGGTCCCTTCATTTACTTTGGACCCCACACTAGATAATTCAGGGACCTCATTCTCACGTCCCAGCCAACAGCACGTGTAATCTGCAGCATCTACGAACGAGATATCAATCTCACATCCAGATCAACAGACCAGGCCGCCCTTGACTTTGAAAGAGATTGCAGGCCCACGAGAATACCATCTCACGTTTCGGTCGCCGAGCATGCCTACCCGTATGCTTTCGCGACTTACCTCTCGATTAACAACGGATACGGTATAGGACTCTATCCCTTTACGACATGTATGCTACACTCTTCTCTTTTTTGATTTTTTTTGTATCCTGACCCCACGCCTCCGACCATCGACCTGTTGGTACCGTCAACTTCAGTCAATTTCGGCGAAAGCTGGCCTGACCACCCACGCACCTGTCAACGCACTCAGTCGACGTTCTGGCTCCGAAAGTCTGGCATACGTATAGTCTTGAACTTGGCTGTTATGGTCGTTTCTGGCTACTTGGTACAATGTCTTTATGTCCTACGTTTTCCGGTCTGAACCCCTTACGAACTGAATCTTTAGATTCTATATACAACCCACTCTGGTGTGGTACTGTGGTGTGTGTTGCTTATGTAGACATTAGTAGTATATGATGTTAGTCGTGAACAGAATTTCTGGCAGCAGAGAGACAAGAAGATCGAACAGTAAAGAATGAAAACAGAACGCAATTTGTATGAAAATGCAAGAACAAAGGAAGTCTCAGTCATTCGAGACAATTGATGGACATTTGCAAATTGAGCATTTAATATATGGTTATTAGATTTTATTAACAAGTCCTGTAATTTGTTGTCAATTACATACTCGAGCAACAAATATAGCATGTTACTCCTGATACCGTCCTACAACTTGAGGATCAACGATCACTTTCTGTTTTGCCAACCCTTTCTTCCTACAATCTCACGTTCGCCGACCAATCCCATGAACGAAATTGCTACGTATAGAAAGTGTAAACCCTTTCTAGAAGGGGGGCGCCTGTGATGACCTACTTTTATGAAGAGAACGTGATTGGTATAATGGAAATAATTATTAATATAGTCAACTGTACCAGTGATTGTTTAATCTATCTGTTTGTTTAAGTGTACCAAAAAAACCCTGTTCCGTTGTTTGTGATCCTGCATGGACTCTAGCACGCTCAGTAGTGCCGCTTGTAGACTTTTTAACGATCTCGTTATTATTTCTATACCACGAGATCTCCAACAAATACACCTTAAGTACAATATTCAACTGCCTTCTGATATTTGGCCTATGGAGGGGTCTAACCTGTAACTGGCACATAGTCTTCTTATAGTGGTGATCATAGTCAACCGCGACTGGACGTCTACTACATATGCAAACTAGCTTCTTTATCACCTGACTGGACAATACAAGCTACCCAAAACCGTATCGTAGCGACAAGAGGTGGGTGCAAAAGGACCAATCAGTGTATATAATCTCTTGACAAAAAAGTCAGATGCCAAAACCTTGGATTTATTAAATAAACGATGTATTCCCATTAGGAGTG